ACAACAAAATTCGCGTGTATAAAGCTATACTAAAACCGGTTTGGACGTATGGCATCCAATTATGGGGAACATCTTGTAAATCGAACATAAATATTATACAAAGGTTTCAATCGAAGATGTTACGATTAATTACAAATGCCCCATGGTATGTCAGGAATAGTACGATATCAAGAGATCTGCAAGTACGCACAGTGGAAGAAGAGATTAAAAGACTAAGTAGAAACTACAATGAAAGACTTCAAAACCATCCAAACCCTCTTGCCAAATCTCTATTGGACAACATAAATGAAACAAGAAGACTGAAGAGAAAGCACGTACTAGATTTAAGTAATTGAGGAATTGCATTTATAAAATGTATATCTTCTTTTTAATTATGTCATTTACAATTATGTATCTTACTGAAGTTACATAATTCCTGTTAACTTTACTTTATCTAATTTGCTTATTGTCTAGTTTTAAAGATAGATTGCAAATAAAGAAATAAATGTATATTAAAAAAAAAAAAAAAAGTGCAACGGAGGTCTTGAAGATTTTGCTGTTTGCCGGAATTGTATATGCTGAAGAATACTTTTTGAGGGATTATGATAGGGGGAAGCATGGTACAATGAATTCAAGGTAGGGCAGAACTACCATATGATTTCAATTTTTTTATTTTTCTGGCTTAATATGTCAACTTCATTTTTTTATGTGTGCGCATTTTTTTTTCAATAATAAACAAATTGTTCAGAAAATATTCAAACTCTGGTGTTTTCAAAATGCTTATTGCAACGTATGCATCGACAAAGTCTACAGTTTTTGTGGTGAAATAAACCATAAGAGATGTATAGAACATGATTTTGAAAAGAAATTTTGATCTTTCATTCAGTTTTCGCGGTTTTAAATTATTTATTCAAAGTCAATGCAACAAGTTTTTTGCTTTTTTATTGTTTTTATAGTGATTCTGTCATTACAAGCCAAACAGGTTGACCTCTATACTTGCAATTTTTTCAAAGCTAGCCTACCTTTTATTCATTGTACCATGGGGGGAAGTGTGTTTTTTATGACTATTTTTTGAGCCACTATCGAAATAGAAAGTGAATTTCCACATCTTAAAAATATGACGGACTTTCAATAGTGGATTTATTACGGTCATTTTCTAGATACTGTCAAAAAAATATACATAATTTATGAGACTATCAGAACTGAAAGCGTGGATTTAAAAAAAAATATATATATCCCATCTTCACAACAGATCTTGTACTGGTAGAAATAATGGGATGTGTGAAATATAAAGAGAAGTGGATGCTTATTTGGGATTTAATGATCGTTTTTGGTTATTCAAAATATTGACCCTTTGTGGGGGAGGTACCAGAAGGAATGGTCCGATCTCTACCATCTTTATAACAGAATATAATCTGATGTTAACTTCGCATTTTATGAGCTTCGTGGATATTCAAAATTGTTTACCCTCTTAGGGGGAGGTACCAGTAGGAGTGGACCGATATATTCCATTTTCACACCAGACCATGTAATAATAAAACTATTGTGTTGTGTGTAATTTGAAGACAATCGGACTTTTACTTCACATATTATTAGAGTTGTAGTTATTCCAAATTTTGATCCTTTGTAGGAAAGTATTTAATGGAGTGGACCGATATTGTCCATTTTTGAACCTGACCTAGCACTAATGCAAATATAGTATCATACATGTTTGGGAAATTCTATCTTTTGTGGAGGAAGTATCAAGAGGAGTGACCGATATTGCCCATCTCCGAGCACGATCTAAGTTTGATACTAATATCAGGATGTACCAAGTTTGGACTTTCGAGAGTTCTCGTGCACACCATCCTGCCAGACAGACAGACGGACATCGCTAGATCGCCTCCAAATGTCCTGAAATGGATTTGGTCTAAAGAGACCTAGGGTCTTAAGCCATCATTTCGATGGGCCACCTTTTGTTCGTATCAAATGATATTTACCCTCTCTAGACATATGGCTGAGGGTATAAAAACTAAGGTCTTTCATCCATAGGGGGGGATTTCATGGATTATTAAAAAATATTTTTTGAGAGACTATCGGAGCTAAAGGCATGGATTTTTAAAAATCATGTTTTGAGAGACTATCGGAGCTAAAGGCAGGGTTTTTTAAAAATCATGTTTTGAGAGACTATCGAAGTTGAATGCGTGGACTTTTAAACATTATTTTTTAAGGGCTATCAAAGTTGAAGTCTTGTATTTAAAAAAAAATATATATATTTTTTTTATGAGACTTTCTAAACTGCAGTTGTGAATTTTCCAAAGGGGCTGAAGGAGCTGAAGTCATTTTTGGAGGGACAATCACTCTTATTATCTTTATTTATTTATCTCTTAATTATTTATTTATTTTTTTTGTGGATTTATCTGTGCTGAGGGAGTGAATTTTTGAAAAATACTTTTATGGGATAATTTGGCTTAAGTAGTAGATTTTTCAGAGCAAAAAGCGTAATTTCAAAGAAATTTTTTAGTGGGAATATCTGAGATAATGGCATGACTTTCTCGGACAATTTTTTTTATCAAAGCTAAGAGAGTGTATTCTCTAAATGGTTTGCTGGTACTTTCAAAACTTTGAGAGAAATTTTTAGATAAAATTATATTGAGGGAGTATCGAGGCTCAAAGCGAGTATAAAGGGCTCCCCACCGTTTAAAAATATTTTATGTATTTCTCTTCTTTTTTATAATTAATATTTTGTCTGAAGGAGTCTTATTTGCTATCCAAAAAGATTTTCTAAAATCTCGTCATTCTCAATGAAACCTTTTAAACCTTTCCTTTATTTTCGTTTCTTCTAGGTTATATGGTTACAGAAAATCTTTTTTTTTTTTTTTTGCCTGCAACAGAACTAATAACTTACTATAATCTGTCTACAAAAGAACTTCTAAGGGCTTCATCTCAATATTCCTACAGTTATTTGAAATCCTCTAAAATTCTCTAAAATTTGTAGACAAGAGAATTTTAATTTTTTTTTTTCTTTTTAAATGACTATATAATGATTTTCTGTTCAAAGAAGACCATTTAAAAGCTTCTTGTGGTAGAAGAACTTTTTAGAAATTAGAGTTTTCTTCAGACGACATTTTTTGAAATTCAATTCTCTCCATCTAGTTTAGTTCTTTGGGAGGTGTTTTAAATAGAATACATTTCAAATATGATATTTCTATAAAAAAGCATTTTGAAAATTTTTCTCCAAAGTCATAGCCTGTCAACATATACGTCTTGTTGGTGTTATTTCCACTGAAAATCGTATATTTTCCATACAAGGCTTGTAAAGTTTTTTTTTTCTCCCATATAAGCTGTTTAAAGGTCTCTATTTATTCCAATGGTCAATTATTTTGAAACACATTTATTTCAAAGAGTTTTTACAGAATACCTTCTTTTTGCTTTCTAAAGACGATTACATGCAGGTCTTTTGTCGTAAAACAAGAGCCACATTGAAGGCCTCCGTCAAGAGGGTATTTGTACTTCATGTATTATCTAATTAGGTATACCTATTTTAGAGAAAGTAGAGAATGAGACCCACTACCCAATAAAATTTAATCATGAAGCGATTTTGGCAAAAACACGGAAAAATAGACAACAGTGTTATATTATTAAAAAAAATAGGTTTTGAAGGAATGTACGAATGCTAAAAATTAAATGTTCATCTTCTACCTATTGGTTTTATGGTATCTCTGAAAGTAAAACAAAAGACTTAGGAAACAGACATGAAATTTCTAACTGGGAAACTTCCTTTAATTATAATTGTTTCTTTTTACTCAAGTAGCCATTTTTATATTCTATGCCCCGTCATGTTACTGCTATGTTCCCAAACCAAACGAAATTGGACATAATAATCCAAGTTGTGAGCAAAAAAAAAAACACAAAATTTTTGTAGGTGAAATAACTTTATTTAAATGTGTTGAGAAACCAGAAACCAATAGCAGCAACAAAAAAGCTCCCAAAAATTATGCATTTTTGCGAGTTAGTTCTTTTGTTGTTAATTTTTCCTTTTCAATATTTTCAACAACATTTGCTGCTGGTTTGGTTGTACTGCAAGCCCATACCTAGCGATAGCGATCACTGACTATACGACAACAACCAAAATAATTCTTTGTCTGGCATTATTTTTGTTCGTAGGCCAAGCAACACGAGTGAGTCGCGGTTGGTCAATGTATGTCTACGACAAGATCGCTGGGGTTGTTGGATTTTTTTTCTTCTGACTCTCTGGCAGCAATTTTAATTGAAAAAAATATATATTTTTATACACCAAAAACAACAATAAAAAATAAAAAAAAACGTAATAACCAAAAAATTACAAATACGTGGTCAGTGGGAAAAATTGTTAGGCAAAAGTTCAAATTATTTAACAATAAGAATTGTTGGCCATTGTCGGACAAGAAGGAGATCTTAGTACGCTTTTAACCCTTTGACAGCTGAAGTTTGAATAAAAGTTTTCAAAAAAAAAAAAATACGGCGGATATACTAATAACACATACGCATCGGGGTCCTAAGGTGAGATAAGTAAGGCCAAAATTGGAGATTTTTTTGGCGGAAGTGGTTGCAGACAAAGGCTGAGATTTTTCAATTAAAATTCCAAAATACCGTTTTTTTGTATTCCAATCCGTTTCTTAATTTATAAAGTATATTTCCGGTGAGTGTAAAGTCTCATATATGAGAATTTTTGTAGAATATTCATACTGATCTCTCTCTGAAACCATCAAGTCACCTCAAGGGTTAAACTTTAACCTGACTTCGTTGAAAACAACCATATTCACTAAACATGTAATTATGCCATGTCGAAGCAAAAGTCAAAATGTTAATTATGCCCATTTAAGGTTTTTCACTTCTTCGTTCTCCATTCCGCCATTAAGGTGTTATTTAAGTTGTTAAACGTTGTTATTGTTTATTGCGCATTTTGTTTTAATAATTTAATTTTAGTTTTAAGTTTTGTTTCTATTTTTTTCATATTCTAATGAATTTGGTATTCTTTTTGTTGCCTTGTTTCGTTACAGGTGTCAGCTAATGACCCGGATTGCGGTGTAAATGCCATGGTTACATACACAATGGGTCCACTGTCGAGACCAATTAACGAATTTGAAGTCCGTCCAGCGTCTGGTGAAATTTGTATTTCTGGCGATTTGGATTATGAAAAGAAGAGTGTCTATGAATTTCCCGTTGTGGCCACCGATAGAGGTATGTTTGAGAAAAATATATTTTTAAAATAAATAAATATGATATAATATAAAAATTTGATTATGCCTTGACAATATACACCGAACTTCGTAATTTTCCTATAAAGGGTCCCTTACTTCCCTTCTCTCGGTTCCCGTCTCTCGGAAAACTAAAGATGTAACATTACAGACAATAAAGCCCGAAAAATATCTAACGTCTGCAGCATATCTTAAAATGATGGGGTATCTTTTTTGGAACGTGGATTTTGTACAGAAGATTATTTCAAGTACCAATAACGTGGTTTTTTTAAAGAATATTTTTTAAGGACCATCAGACCAAATAACTTGGATTTTTTCTCTATATTTTCATGGAATAAAAAACCGTCAAAGGTGGATTTTTTTATAAATATTTTAAGGACTTACGGATCGGCAAATGTTAATTTCTTAAAAATGTTTTTAAAGGCTTACTGGACCCCGAGCTTGTATTTTTTAAAGTATCATTTTTTCAAGGACCATAAGAGCAATGACCCTGGATTTTTTGAAAAATATTCTCCAAGGATTATCAGACCCACAAAATGGATTTTTTATAAATATTTCCAAAGACTAGCGAAGCGAAAAATGTAGATTTTTGAGGAATATTTTTTAAGGACTAACAGACCGACAAATACGAATTTTTGAGGAATATTTTCAAGGACCCTTTTTGAAGTACCAATAACGTGGATTTCTTAAAGAATATTTTTTCAGGACCATCAGAGCAATTAACTTGGATTTTTTTTCTATATTTTCATGGAATAAAAAACCGTCAAAGGTGGATTTTTTATAAATATTTTTAAGGACTAAAGGATCGCCAAGTCTGAATTTCTTAAAATGTTTTTAAAAGCTTAATGGACCCCGAGGTTGTATTTTTTAAAGAATATTTTTTCAAGGTCTTACGGACCGTCAAAGTTTGATTTTTAAAGAATAATTTTTTTAAGGACCATGGGAGCAATAAACCTGGTTTTTTTGAAGAATATTCTCCAAGGGTTATCAGACCCAGAAAATGGATTTTTTATAAATATTTCCAATGACTAACGAACCGAAAAATGTAGATTTTTGAGGAATATTTTTTAAGGACTAACAGACCGACAAATATTGATTTTTGAGGAATATTTTCAAGGACCCTTTGACGAATAAATGTTGGCTTTGTATGATTTTTTTAAGGAATTTTTGGGAATATTTTTCAAAGCTTGCATTTTTTAAGTATAATTTTTAGGCATACATTCCAGGATATTTAGTTACACTTTCCAGGACCAAGCCACAAACAAATTTATATTTTAAAGAAAAATTTTCGCGGGCCTACAGGGTGATATGGAAAAAACTACAACCAACTTCAGACTACTGTAATTTCTAAGCCACTCGTCCGACAGCTGTTCAAAATTATTCCAGTGACAGCTCATTATATTGTTTACAAGCCTACAAAAGAATTTTGGTGACAATTTTCTAGAAAAAAAGTTATTCCTGATGGAATTCAAGTGTGATTTCTTTATATTTGCCTGGAAAATTACAATTGGCTATCGTTAGAGCACTCCAGCATTTGAATGTGAATAAATCTTTTGTGTCACTGGTAGCGTAGCCTGACGTCAAGGGAGTGGACGGAAGAAAACAGCAACATTAGCAGAAATGGCTCGAAAAGTAAAGAAGCGACTTGATCGAAACCCACGTCGCAGTGGCCGAAAAATGGCTATTGCTCATGAGCTGAACACACCGCATTATTCCACTCCGCACATATTGAAAAATGAGCTCGGGGAAAAGTCATTGGAATTCCAAAAAGTGCAAGAACTTGCACCGCAACAGAAAGAAAAGTGCTAAAGATTTGCTTCGCTTGGCCGAAAGTCGTGAACTGCCGAATTTGGTTATCTCTGATGAGAAAACATTCGCTGTCCAGCAGTTTGTAATCAAACAAAATGATCGTGTTTACTTGCCAAAGAGGTCAGCTGAAAATGTGCACCTTCGGTTGCCCACCAGAACTCAAGCGCCATGGTGGCTATGGTGATGGTGTGGGCCGCTATAACAGCCGATGGTCGCTCTCCGCTCGTATTAATCGACCGTGTCATCAGAATAAATGCCGAATATTATCGCGAAAATATTCTGGAGGGTTTATTAAAGCCTTTAGCCATTTGTCAGACCTTGGACATTCCAACAGGACTGCTTAGTGCACGCGTCACCCAAGATTGGTTACAAAATGAGGTCCCTCGCTTCATTTCCAGCGCACAATGGCCATCAAAATCTCCGGATACCAATCCGTTGGACTATTGTGTCTGGAGTGTTTTGGAAAGCATGGTTGACACTAAAATACACCGAAGTGTCGATCACCTCAAGCAAGCGCTTCGCCGGGAGTGAGCCAAAATACCGCAGAGCAACATTCAGGCAGCGTGTGACGGATTCATTGGCCGTTTGAAGGCCATAATCCGTGATAAATTCTATATTCTAAAATTTGATGCTATTTCCGACATTTTTTGCTTTCATTCAATAAAATTTAAAAAAAAAAAATGTAAAAATTATGGTGTTGACCTTCTTGCAGTTTTTTATCTCACCCTGTTTTTTTTTTATCTCACCCTGGTACTCTCACAAAAAAAAACAAGAAAATAGAATTGATCTACTGTCTTTAAATCAAAAACTCTCTCGTAAAAGACCCATGGGTCTCTGTAGACCCTGAGTATTGTCATAGCTGCACAAAAGACTAATATCTTCCCATACAATACTCATGGATCTTCTCATAGATGACCAATCGGTGATCTCATTGAAATTGGACTTCTTAGAAAAAATCAGTACCCTTTTGCACATATTACCAATATGACTCCTCTTAGTAGGGCCAGGGCACTTACAATATACGACCTTTGAAAGTTCGAATAAAAATACAATAGGTGTTCTTACAGAAGATCATGTACTTATGTCTACAACTATTGCCCAGACATAAAATGAAAAATATACTTTAACCATGGGCATAATTCGGCTGGAACTTGAAAATTATGGCTTTAGTAGTTTATGAGAAAATAATAGTAGAGATTCCTAATGATCCTTGGAAATTGCCCTTTAAAAATGTAGAAGAATATAGCGTTGACAAACTTTGCAAGCGAGTCCTCTTGCAAGATCCACGGTTATAGATCTGAAAGTTCTCGAAAAGGAACTTATAAAATGTACATTATTTTTCTTTGAAATCACTATAAAAATGTCCACGAAGTTAGCTTTGGCCACGACATGATCTGCAAAAAAAAAAAATAAAATATCAACTATTTGAGCTCTGATACATCTCCTCCGAAAAATACCCTAAATACCTAGAAAAAATATCCATTATTACATTTTCGCTATTATCGCTTAAAATTTGTCTCTAAATGTCTCCCAATATAGATAAGTTCTTATAAAAAATGAGAAAACTCAACGAGGACAGTTCTGGTAGTCTTTGAAAAAATTCTCACAAATATAAATGGTTATTCCAAAAATATTCCTGAAAAATGATTTTAGCACTTTCACAATTGCAGTTGAGAGAATACCAACTTTTCACAAGACGGAGGAATATTAGAAGATTTTTTTCTTGGAGATTTCTGATCCACAATATTCGAAATAAAGATGCATAACATTATATTTCCCTTACCTTCAGATATTTTGAAGATTTCTATTTTGTTCCCATTTTAAAAAAATAATTTTAATTCCTAATTCCAACGTTTTTCTCTTCTTCCCTTTTCAGGTGGTTTAAGTACAACATCCATTGTGAAAATTCAACTAACCGATATCAATGATAATCGCCCAACATTCTATCCAGCCCAGTATAAGGTCTCACTGCGTGATTCATCAGCATCATCGTCGTCATCATCTTCATCGCCATCATCATCGTCGTCATCATCTGCTGCAGCTGGCTCGGCAGCAGCCGCTGCCACCATGAATGCCCAGACACCGATTGTCACCGTTATGGCTACCGATCCGGATTCGGGACGTTTTGGTGCCCTCACCTATCGCATTGTTGGCGGCAACGATGTCGGCCTCTTTCGCATCGATCGTGCTACGGGTGAAATTTTTGTAAATCGCCCCAATATGTTATCGACGCGCACGCAATCTCAGCAACAACATGTGTTGAATGTATCGGCCAGCGATGGTGGCGGATTGAGGACACAACACGACGCACTGGTATATGCGAACATAATTGATGCCACGCAAAGACCACCAATATTTGAAAAATTACGTTATAATTTCTACGTAAAAGAGGATGTCATGCGTGGCACTGTTGTGGGTACAATACAGGCGACGAGCACAGATGCAGGTGAGTTGAAGAACAGCAAGAAAAAAACGGAAAAAAAATTAAAGGAAAGGAAAAAAATCGAATAAAAGCAAAATATAAGAATTTATTGTTGTTGAGGCCAAGGAGGCGTTGGGTTTTTATATTTTTGTTTTTTTTTTTTTTATTTCTGAAACGAAAAAGAGACACATAATATGATGAGCAGAATTTGTAGTGAAACAGCTAAGCATATTTTTCTTTTTTTATTTTTTTGGGATTTCTTCGTGGATTAAAATTGAAGTTCTTTGCAGAAATGGGAGATAAAAAAATGAGAAACAGGTGAACCCAGCACGGTAGTTACAAATACAACCAATAAATGTTCTCAGCTATGATTTGAACCTAAATCAACCTCAAGTAGAGAGATATTTTAATTATTTTCTTACACATTTTTTTCAGAAATTTGCTTCCATTAAATAGCTCCTCAACTCATTCATTTAATATGGAGAACAATTTTTATAAGAAATATTTATTGCTTATTTTTCTCAACCCACTGTGCACTCTTTTCTCATTTTTGTCCTTGTCAACATTTTAATGAGGTACATCATCATCATCTTCGACGACGTCGTCATCGCCTTAACGATCCTTTAGATAATAATGCTAAAGAGGGGATATTTTTTATTTCGCTTTTTTTCTTTGGTATTCATTTTTCTTTTTCAATTTAAACTCATTGAAGCAAAAAAAGGTATTCATTAATTCAATGATTTGGAAACAAATATCTGAACATTTGATTGACAGTATAGACAATTTTGTTTTGTGTTCTGTTTTTTTGTTTCTGTAGGCTCCTTCCAATAAGCGTTTGAGACCAAACCAAAAAAAAAGGAAAAACAATCTTATTTTGTTCCATATTAATAACGATTTTTTGTGGTTTGGGATTTAGCGAAAAGTGAAGATCCTTGGAGAGGTTTCATACGAAACTCAAGTGGCTTTTGAAGGAATTTTTGGGTTGTTTTGAAATCACTGGAAAACAAATCAAGAGAAACTTGAAAATCATTGCAAATTGTTTGATATGGGTTATCAAGAGGTTGTTTGTGTTCAGGTATTTTGAAAATGTTTCCTACAAGCCTAGATTCTATTGTCACAAAAATTCAAATATAAAATATCAATGTAAAAAATATAAAATAAATAAATTGTCAATAAAAAGTATTGATGATTGCTCTGATATGACTTAGTAAAATTTTAAATATTTGCTCAGGTAATCTTTGAAAAAATTATTTCAAGAAAACAGTCCTTGAATTAATATTATTAAAAGTCAGAATTACCGGTCTGGTACTTCACCGAAATATATTTCTATACCCTACGTAACACTTTGGTACAGAATATTATCTCCTGGCCATTTATTTGTAACGTAGAGAAGAAAACGAGACCCATGGTTAATTTTAAGCATCATCATAGAATCACCTTCTGAATCGATTTATCGACGTCCTTCCGTCTGTCTGTCCATGTATTTTTGGTAACAAAATACAGTTCGCATTTATTGTCCGATCGCGCTGAAATTTTGCACAAATCAAGGACGAACCCCATTGAAATTGAAGATAATCGGTCAATATTTATGTATAGCTATCATATATATCTTCATCCGATTTGTCTTTTATTGTCAACCAAATGTGCAATATTAGCCGAAACATGCGTAAAAGGAAGTATGTGGAATTTGGTGAAAATCGGTTCACATATAGCTATAGCTCCCACTTATATTATTCACCCGATTTTTTATCTTTGACCCTAATATGAACTCCATAACAACTATTCTCTTTCAATTGCACATTGATATATACGAAAGTCTTTGATAAATCTTCTACGAAGAAATCTTTGTAGACCTTGTAAGACATTGTTCGAAAAAAATTGATTAAAAAATCTGTTTTAAAATACGAGTTTGGTCCTCAAAAACGCGCCTCATTGAAATAACGGTTTTCAACTCTAGGTCTCTTTGGACCAAATCCGTTTCAGGACAATTGGGGTGTCCGTTCGTCCGTCTTTCTGGTGTGCACAATAACTCTCGAATTGGTCCAAAATTGGTGCACAATAATATTGTTATCAAACATAGATCTGGTTGGCAGATGGGCAATATCGGTTCACTTTTTCTGGTACCTCCAGTACAGAGGGTCAATATTTTCAAATAACATATTTTACTTTATGCAGTGCGAGTGCGAAAATTGACAACATCGGCGCACTCCCTCAAGTACCTCCCTCACAAGGGTTACAATTTTGGGATAATTATAACTCTTATAAACTGCGAAATAAGAGTCCGATATTTTCAATATTTCTGTCAACAAAAGATGTGGAGATACAATATATCGATCTATCGATCTAATATTGTTACCTCTCCCACAAGGGGTTAACATTTTTCAATAGCTGCATCACTCATAAAATGTGAAATAAGTATTCGAATCTTTTCAAATTTCACACATCCCAATATTTTCGCCAATCAAACTTAGATTTTGGTCTTTATGAAATAATGTCTATAAAACCGTGTTTGATCCTTGTCAAATAAATAAATGCTACGTTTGGTCCTTGAAGAACAAAAATATTTTTAAAAACCTACTTGTAATGGATTTTGCACAAAGAAAAATTATCTTTAGAGATCTGGGATAATAAAATCCAAGTTTGATTTAAAAAAGAAAAATATATTTTTTAAGATCCACGATCGGTCTCTGAATTTAACAAAATATCTTTTTAAATCGATGGTTCTTGAAATAATATTTTCAAAATTGGAAAAAAATTTTTTCGTTCCCTGAAGATTCGTGGCCTGTTGGTATTCAAAAAAAATCTGTAAAAATCCACGTTCAGAGGTGTTTTGGAAATCACATTTTATAAAAATAAACTCTTGGAGTTTTTTTTGGTCCTTGAAAAATATTCTTTAAGAAATCCACATTTCGTGGTCTGTTGATCCTAAAAATATATTCTTTGAAAAATTCACGTTTATTGGTCTGTGGGTCCTTGAGAAAATATTCTTGAAAAAATCCATGTTTTTTAGTCTGATGGTCCTTGAAAAATACTCTTTAAAAAACCACGTTCGATGGTTCTTGAAATAATATTTTAAAAATAAAAAAGTCCGTGGAATAATGTTTTGTTGGTCCTTGAAGATTCGTGGTCTGTTGGTACTCAAAAAAACCTGTAAAAATCCACGTTTATTGGTCTTTTGGTCCCAAAAACAAATCACATTCTACAAAAATACATTCTTAGAGGTTTTTTGGTCCTTGAAAAAATATTATTTAAAAAATTCACATTGGGTCTGTTGGACCTAAAAAAATGTTCTTTGAAAAATACGAGTTTATTGTAGGTCCTTGAAAAAATATTCTTTGAAAAATCCAAGTTTATTAGTCTGTTGGTCCTTGAAAGATATTCTTTAAAAATCCACGTTTAGTGATCTTTTGGTCCTTAAAAACTATTTTTTTCTAAACCACGTTCGTATGTCTGATGGTCCTTGAAAAACATTCCTTAAAAAGAATTCAAGGATTGTTGGTCTGATGGTCCTTAAAAAATATTGTTAAAAAATTCAGATTTGGTGGTATGTTGGTCCTTGAAAAAAATATTTTTTAAAAAACTACATTAAATTTCCCTGTGGGTCTTTGAAAAATTATTCTTTGAAAATCTACGATAATTTCCCTGTTTGTCCTTTAAAAATATTATTTAAAAAGACAAGTTAAATTCCCTGTTGGTCCTTCAAAAATTATGTTTATCCTTCAAAACAAAATCTTCAAAAATTTAAAATTTCCTCCTTGAAAAATATTCGTTAAAAACCACGTTTGTTGGCTTTTAAGTCCTTTCAAAAATTTGCTTTAAACATCTACGTTTCGCAATCACGATTGTCAATGAAGGTTTTTTTGCAGTCAAGAGTGGATCACGCTTTAAAGGTACTTGACTTAACACTCAACTGACTATCGACCTGTAAAGCCACTGGTCCTTTTTCGTCTGCTTCTTGATGCAAGAATCTTCTGGTGTAAACGCTGAAATTGCCATTAAGCTTATATGAGCGTTCATCGTTAGATTAGGGCAGAATACAGCAGTACCGGTATCTTCATCTGGGAACCGTCTATATATAAAGTCAGCAGTTTTAAAACTCTAAGATCTGCTTATCCTTGAAAAAATATTCTTTAAAAAATCCATATTTGTTCGGTTGGTCCTTCACAAAATATTCTTAAAAATCCACGTCTGTAAGCCTGTAAGTAGCTGGCAAAAATTAAAAATTCACATCTATTGGTTGTGGCCAGTTGGTGATTACAAAAATATTTTTAACATTAGATTTTGTTTTGTTGATCCTTGACAAAATTTCTTAAAAAACGATATTTATTGGTCTGTTGGTCCCTAACAAAATTTTCTTTACAAATCTATGTTCTGTGTACTGTTGTTCTTTAAAAAAATTATTTAAAATGTCACCTCTATTTCTCTGTTGATCGTTGGAGATATATTCCTTAAGACTTCACATTTTGCAGTGTACGGGTCTTTGAAAAATGTTGTGATCCATTGAAAGTCCTCATTGATTGGTTTAAAATTCCCGGAGAAACTATGTTTCTAAAAATACACCTTTAGTGTTCTGAAGAGAACAAATGAAAATCCACTTTGAAGTCACTGTAAAAAAAACTCAATGTCCATGTGTCGGAATGGTTTAAATAGTCTTCCAAAAATGTTTTAATATTTATATCATGGATACTGGTTCTTTTGATAGCCTTTGAAAAAAATATTTTTCAAAAATGCACATTCCTATGCCGATTATTGAAATAGCCTTCTTTGGAAATCAGAAATGCTGCCTTGATTATTCTAGAAGAATATTTTGAAAATATACTGTCATATGGTCTGATAGGCACAGAAACCTCAGCAAAACTCGGAATTATAGCTGTAAATGTCATTAAATATATAAGCAAAAATGATACTTAGTATTTATTTATTCTATTCATAATTTTCAATTTTGTTATGGTCTATTGTCTAATTTCTTTCTTATATTTTTAGTTAATCGCAATGCCGTCCATTACTCCATCTATGCTGGCAATAATGAGGGATATTTTACAATCGATGAAAATTCTGGCAATATACGAGTGGCCAATCCCTTGGATCGGGAAATGAAGTCCCATGTGCTGTTAAATATACAGGCGACCATGAGTCATACTTCGCATCAAGGATATACGCAAGTAAGTATGGAGAAATGTCCGAAAAAAGAAGAAATAATAATAATTCAATCCTAAAAAGATGTAAAGGAATATCTAAATTTCAAAAATTGTCAATAGCTACAGCTTTAACAAAACTTGACAATTCCAAAACAAGCATTTCGTCAAAATATTCCATTCTATTCTTCAATTCTCCATTTTATTTACAATTTTCGTCTCTTTCTCCTCCCCCTTCCAGGTCAATATTATAATCGAAGATGTTAATGACAATGCACCCGAATTCGAAACGAATATCATACGCATCTCAGTTCCTGAAAATTTCGAATTGGGCAAACCTTTGTATGCCGCTTATGCTAATGACAGGGATTCTGGTAAAAATGCTGAAATCTCATATATATTGACAATGTTAACAACGACAGACACTTTCAACAATGTCACGATGTCTTCAGCCAAGACGACAGCAGCCACGGCCACAACAGGCCCCGGTGGAGCATCTTCTCAGGCGAATGCATCATTGCAGCCACAAAATAATCAAGGTACTGGCTTAAAAACTGTACTGGGTACAGCTTCGAGTCAGACATCTGCATATGGCGGTTCTACGGCTGGAATTGGAGGTGGTAGTGGTGGTGGCGGTGGCAGTGGTACTGGCGATAGTGTCAGTGGCAGCAGCAGCAGCAGCAGTGGTAGTAGTGGCAGTGGCATTGGTTCTAAGTTACAAAATCTTTTTGCTATCGATGCACGTTCGGGCCACCTAACATTGTCACGACACTTGGATTACGAAACTTCACAGAGACATACGTTAATTGTCACTGCCATGGACGCTGGGCAGCCACGTTTATCAAGCAATTTAACCATTGTCGTGGAAGTACAGGATGTCAATGATAATCCGCCAGAATTTGAACGTAATGAGTACCATGTAAAAGTGTTGGAATCAATGCCAGTTAATTCACAGGTAAGAGAACTCAGGCAAATGCACTCAGAGATATACACACACACACACAACTGGCTGGTTGCAAAATACAACAACAAAACAACAGAAGCATTTCAATCTTATAAACATTTTAACAGACAGTTGCAAAAACAAAAAAACGAAAACAAAAAATAAACAAAGTCGTTCAAATTTCCTTGTAACCACCAGACCAGAGGCTGGAGTCTGGCCAAACACAAACAAAAGACTTAAGACACAAACTTGTTTGGAGGGGTTTTTTTGCCATCCGCAACTATTTTATTTTTGACGTTAATTTAATTTGGAATAGTTTTTGGATTTTTTTGGCCTGCCATCATGCCATTGACGTTAAATATTTTATATTTTATATTTTATTTCAGGGCATTAATCAATAAATTTGTTGTTTATTAAATTAAATGAAATATTTGAAAATGTAAGCTACAGGGGCGTAGATAATGTAAATTTAGTGTTGAGTTGGGGAAGTAATATTTCTTTACGATTTTGGATTTTTTTTTTTTTTTTTTTGATTTTGAAGACACTTTTTTCGTTAAATTTTCAAAACTAAACATTATAGAATTAAAAGCACTTCTACAAAATAGCACATCATATTTTAAGTAAAACTTCAATATACAGTTCTTGAAAAAAAAATATATTTTGTGCACATTTAGGCTCTGAAAGTCCTGGATAAAAATATATGTTATAAGCTCTGATAGAAGAATTAAAATTTGATCTTAGATTATACCAACAAAATTACTTTGAAAACTCTGTGAAAAGAGAATCAGTGCCCAAACGAAACGGCTAAAGCTAGAATCTTGAAATTTTGCACGAGGGTCCGTCTTTGTGCGTAGGCGTGTGGAAAGGATGGGTTTCTGGGAAATTTCCACTAAAATGGTACGGAAAGTTACTTGGTATTGGGCATATGGAAACAGTTGGAATTCTGAAATTTGGAAAGCGAAACACTAATGGAGAGCAGCATAAGTGTAGCAAAACGTTTTTCGAAAATTGTACTTTAAGGTTACGAAAAGTTTAAAAATCGTACTAAATTTGTACAAAGGTACAGGGAGATAAAAAAACTGCAACAAAGTCAAATACCATAAATTTTACATTTTTTTTAAATTTTATTGAATGAAAGCAAAAAATTTCGGAAATAGCATCAAATTTTAGAATAAGTTGAGATTTTTTCGCATTGGTGACCTTTGGCACGAATTATGGCCTTCAAACGGCCAATGAAATCGTCACACGTTGCCCGAATGTTGCTCTGTGGTATTTTGGCCCATTTCCCGCCGAAGCGCTTGCTTGAGGCGATCGACACTTTGGTAAATTTTAGTGCCAACCTCTCTTTCCAAAATACTCCAGACACAATAGTCCAACGGATTGGTATCCGGAGATTTTGGTGGTCATTGTGCGCTGGAAATGAAGCGAGGAACCTCATTTTGTAACCGTTCTTGGGTGGCGCGTGCTGAGTGCGATGGTGCTGAGTCCAGTTGGAATGTCCAAGGTCTGCGGCCAAAATGTTTGCGTGCCCAAGGCTTTATAACACCCTCCAGATTATTTTCGCGATAATATTCAGCATTAAGCGAGGAACCTCATTTTGTAACCATTCTTGTGGGGCGCGTGCTGAGTGCGATGATGCTGAGTCCTGTTGGAATGTCCAAGGTTCGCGGCCAAAATGTTTGCGTGCCCAAGGCTTTAATACGCCCTCCAGAATATTTTCGCGATAATATTCGGAATTTATTCTGATGCCACGGTCGATTAATACGAACAGGGGGCGACCATCGGCTGCTATTGCGGCCCACACCATCTCCATGGCCGGCGCTTGAGTTCTAGTGGCCAACCGAAGGTGCACATTTTCAGCGGGCCTCTTTGGCAAGTAAACACGATAATTTTGTTTGCCTTTGTTTACAAACTTCCGGACAACGAATGTTTTCTCATCGGAGAAAACCAAATTCGGCAGTTCACCACTTTCGGCCAAGCGAAGCAACTCTTTAGCTCTTTTGAGTTTACTTTCTTTCTGTTGCGGTGTAAGTTCTAGCACTTTTTGGAATTTCAAAGATTTTTCCCCTCATTTTTCAATATTTGCCGAATAGAATATTGCGATATGTTCAGCTCACGAGCCATTTTTCGGCCACTGCAATGCGAATTTTGTTCATGTCGCTTCTTTACTTTTCGAACCATTTCTTCTGATGTTGCTGTTTTCCTCTGTCTCCTTCCTTGATGTTGGGCTACGCTACCAATATCACGGTAACGAGCGATGGTACGAGATACAAAAGATTTATTCACATTTAAATGCTGGAGTGCTCTAACGATAGCCACTTGTGGTTTTCGAGCCAAATATATATAGATATCACACTATCACGCTTGAATTCCATCACGAATAAATTTTTTTCTGGAAAATTCTCACCAAAATGCTTTTGTACGCTTATAAACAAAATAATTAGCTGTCGGTGGAATTATTTTAACAGCTGTCGGACGAGTGGCTTAGAAATGACAGTAGTCTGAAATTGGTTGCAGTTTGTTCATCTTACCCTGTATTTAAAGGTACCGTTATATAGGGGCTATACGATATCGTAAACGATATTGACCAGCCTGTAGACAAAAGACTGATCGGTGCAAAGCTTCCAATCTTAATTCGTTTTGACTCTAGCATGAACTTAATATACCCTCCATGTTATGTATGGTGGAGGGTGTAAAAAGGCCTAACACGAACTATTGGGAGGAATCTAAAATTTTAAGGTAGACTTGTCGCTGTCGAAGTAGCGGAAACTTTGTAGAATGTTTATATTTTAGTAAATTTAATAGTGCTGTTCTCAAACTAGTTAATTTACAGAAAGCTTTTGAATTTTGCATCCTCTTTTTATACCCTCCACCTTGGAAAGGAGGGTATATTAAATTCGTCATTCCGTTTGTAACATCCTTAAATATTCGTCTTAGACCCCATAAAGTATATATATTCATAATCAGCATAAAATTCTAAGTTGATTTAACAATGTCCGTCAGTCTGTTGAAATCACGATACAGCCCACATTATTTGACGTAGAGCGCCAAAATTTAGCAGAGCTATTTGCATTGTGTCTAGGATGGTTGGTATTGAAAATGATATATCGGTCCACGTTCTGATATAGTCCCCATATAACGGTACCTCCCGATATTCGGTATTTTGATGATTTATGGCACATTTTTTCGCGGATTTGTCTGGAAATTGGTATTTGTAGGTCACAACGGGTCCCTGAGCGTGTGGCAAAACATTGCATGTATAGGTCCACGTTGTGGTATAGCCCCCATATAACGGTACCTCCCGATATTCGGTAATTTGATGACTTTTGCAACCTTTTTTCACGGATTTGTCTGAAAATTGGTATTTGTTGGTCATAATGGGTTTCAGCTCCGGTGGCGAAACATTGCATGCATGGGTCCATGATTTGATATAGCCCCCATATAACGGTACATCTCGATATTCGGTATTTTTATGGTTTTTGCCACATTTTTTCACTATTTTGTCTAAAAATTGGTATTTGTGGGTCCTAATGGGTCCTAGTTCGTGTAGCGAAACATTTAATTATAGGTCCACGTTTTGGTATAGCCCCCATATAACGGTACCTCCCGATATTCGGTAATTTAATGGTTTTTGTCACATTTCTTCTAATGTTTCTTTTACCCTAAGGTGGAGGGTATTAAAAGTTTGGCCAGGCCGAACTTAATGTTTTTTTTTTATTTGTTAACATTTCAAGACCCTTTTTAGACATTGGTATCTGTTAATTAGATAATCTTTATGAATTTATGTCTCAGATGTTCCTGAAAAATACATTATTGTAGACTCTAAGGCTCTTCATTAAAATCCAATATTATATCTCAGATGCTCTATGGAAAACTTATTTCCTCAAAGTGCAGAATGATAGTCATTGAAAAGTTCTTGCTTAAAATCAATTTTTTTTTTTTTTTGAAAATTCAAATATCAGACCCCTGAAATATATCGAAATTTCTCCTATCCTCTGTTCAGTTCTTGGTAAACATTAGTACCTTTAATGAGTTGGTTTATCTTCAAAAGGATAATTCACATTTAGTTTCCAGGAAATTAGTTCAAGCTACAACAATCTCTGCTAAAACCCTCTTTTAACTCCAACCTTTTCATTTGTTTTGTTTTATTTCAATTTTTTTAACCCAAGCTTTTGTGTCCCAACCAACCAGACAGACAGCCAGACCGACAGACATGTCAACATGTCCCATACCCCAAGTCAATCACGGAATGATGTTTAAAACTCAGCCGTATTGCTGCTGCTGTGGCAACATTGTTGAGTGATTTATGTTAGACAGCCGTCTTTTGGTGTCCCCCCTCTGCCCCTCTCTCATTTAATGTTGACTTCAACATTCTTTAGCTGTTGGTTTATTTGGTTGCCAACTGATAGCGTGTGCTGAAACGGACCTGTTGCTTGGCCATACATTTTTTTCTTTTTTGCAATGTATTCAAATACAAAACAATGAGACTTAATTTTTCAATTAAAACCAGTAGGCATTTGTTGCTTGTTTGTTAAATGTTTATTAACAATGTCACTTTAATTGTGTGGCAGGGGACAAAAAAAAAGCAAACCAACGAAAGAATGGACGTATATACGTTAATTACATTTCAGAGGAGCACATAGGAATGCTGCAGGAATTGTTTGAAATCGTTTTGCAATGAAAATGATATGGAGTGAAATGTCTAGTAGTTTTGGAATTTAGATTGTATCGAGGGTGGGTGAAATTAAGAAGATGGTTTTAGCAATATTTAAGATAAATAATGGGTAATTTAGATTTAAATCCAATTATCCTCAAAAAGATCCCAGATTAAAGGCCATCCCAAAATAGCCTTCAATAACAATCTTAAAGAAGTTTTCATAAAATCCACCAGCAGTAAATTGAAGTTGCCATCCAAGAAAATTGCAAATTAACGTTCTAAAATATTCTTCAAAATATGCGAACAGTTTTTCGAAAAAGATTTTTACTTAAGAGCTCTGCTTAGAAACATTTTT